TTAATATTTACTAGAATCATTATCAAACAAAATTGTCTAACTTTGAAAAAAAAAAAAAAAGGAATTCATATTCTTAGAAATGACTTATTATTAGAATTATAAAAATGTCACCTGATGCCATGCCCTGGTCCGCAATGAACTTTGGTTATGTTTATATCATGTGATTAATTTGTTATAGCAACGCAATCATCACCTAATTAGGATATTGTTAAATACGAGTGAGGAAATTATACAATAGAAAGATAAATAACTTGCAAATTTTGGTAAAATTAGTTCACTCAACAATGCTACATATATATATCAATAAACATTATAGGATTTGTGAAATTCAAAAGTAAAAATGATTATTAATACTCCATATGTTAAGAAAATACGTAATTGTTTAAAGTCACCAATGACATAATAATAATATAATACGAAGTACATCAAATTTACTCGTGGGCATGCTCAACTTTGGATTATGCAATTGTAACAACAAGTATACACTTCGCTTGTAAGAAAACTTTCATTATATAAGTGGAATAACCTCTTCAAATATTGATTACGAGTATTCACTTATAATATTTAAGTGTTCTTACTTTTTATGGGTACTTACTTGTTGCAATGTAACATTGGTTGATCGCGACAAAACTTGAAAAAGTAATGTCAATACCGTCAGTATTAACACTATCCGCAGGGGCTTGTATTGTGAGACGTGAAATAATAACATTGTTACAACTTCTAATAGAGATATGATTTCCTGAGCTATTTAGAAATGTTAAGCCTCGAAGAGTTAGGTTGTTGCAATTTATGAATGCCACCGTCTGTCCAATTAATTGTAAATTATAGTGAGTATTAGGGTTGCCAAAAAAAAAAAAAAAAAAAAAAAAAAACAGAGAGAGAGAGAGTTTATCATACGATCCTATAAACAAATTAAACACCCTTAGAGTCGTAGAGGCGTTAAGAAGCTTACCGCTGTCTTCGAGGACAAACATTTCCCTGTCCAATATTGGAAAAAATAAATAAATGAATAAATTATAAGGAAAAATAATGTAACTCGTATTAATTAAGATATATACTACATATATGAAGTACGGAGTATATATATCATAATACGTAGTATTTGATAAGATACGGAGTAATAAAAAAAAAGGATTACGTGGGTGGTGAACTCACTCGGCAAGTGCTCCACCAAACTTGTCCTCTACCATCAATAACTCCACGTCCATTAACATACAGTCCATCGACCTTTGAAATTTCCAACCAACTATCTGGTGTTGGTGTTGGATAATCAGACAGTGATTTTGGTCCAATGATTTTTCCCAAAATCTACATCATTTTTTTCAAAAATATATAAGGAATTTAGGATACATCAATTTACATAATTTGCATGTAAATGTAATAAATTTACGTGCTAAATCTTGTTTTATAAAATGATCAATACTCAATAGCCTTGAAATGTAATACGATGATAGTTACTAGGACTTTTATGTGGACGGGACCTTATGAGACAAGCAAGTACATTTATTCATTTTTTAAATTTGAAAAACACAAGTATATATTAAACAAAATGAAACAGGAAAATTTAATTTACTCTGTATAAATTTAGTATTCTCATATTAGAATTGTTTTATAAAAAAAAATTACTTGTTTAGGAAATACTTCTTTAGTCTCCCAAACAAACGAATAGTAGTTTTTTTCATTAATAACTTTGTTACAATAACAACAATATTAATTGAATATATTAATGGTCAAACTATCGTGTTTGTAAATTCAATGTGCCTAAAGTAAAAACATTGAAAATTATATATTTTGGATTCTCATTAAAATCTCTTTTTGTATTAATTTGTGATTTATTTAAAATCTCTGTTTGTATCAACTTGAGATTTATTTGAATTTTTTTCTATCTACAATATTTGAATTTGATATTGTTATGATGAATGATTTCACTTTTTCATAAAAATCAAATAACCCCCCCCCCCCCAAAAAAAAAAAAAAAAAAAAAATCAAATACGTAGCAATTAAATGCAACATTAATTTTTGTTGTATAGAGAAGTTTTCATTACCACAATATTGACATTAGAAGAGTTGCAAGGACCTTGAAGCTTCAATGGTTTTACTAAAAAGGTTTTTCCATTTGGAACAAGAAGAGTGCTACTCGGAGATTTTGCTACGCAAACTGCTTCCCAAGCTTTTGTCAATGCCTGTAAAATTTCACGTTTATTATTACAATAATATTTTCCAAGAAACACAAAAAGATTTTTTTTAATAGATTTTCAAAGAAATTTACTTGAGAATCATCGATATTTCCATCTCCTACAGCTCCAAAATCTAACAAATTGAATGATTGTTCGGATTGAGCATGTACTTCATTCCACAATGTCATCAAGATGAGTGAATAAACCAACATCAAAAAGTATGTATCCTACTACAAACAAATACGAATATATTTATTTTTGGCCCAAACATTTTATTTTATTTTATTATTTTAGCCCGAATAATAAAAGTCAGGAAAAAGCACGAAATTATCAATCAGCACTTAAAAAGCCGAAAGAAATTAGGGTTAAAAATGAATTTAGACGGAAAAATGGACTGGAACTGACCGTATCACGGTACAGCCTGACCGTGTCACGGGAACCCTTCCCGTCTGACGGTGGGACTTCCCGTGACACGGGAGGTTTGTCGTGACACGGGATGTTCCGTGTCCTTTCCGCGTAAACCCTTAACGCGTTTTTCATTCCGTTTTCAGAAAATTTCCCGCGTCACTCCAAAACTGACCGTGTCACGGGAAAGTGTACCGTCTGACGGTACAGTCTGACCGTGTCACGGGATACTTTTTTAGGGTTTTTATCATTTTAGGGTTTTGTGTGCTCCCTCAGCACATTTCCCTATAAATACCCCCTCATTTCTGATGTACGGGGAACCAGAATTTTATTATTCTTATTTTCTCTCTTCTATGCTATTAATCTAAACCCTAGCCTACCCTTTTCACTTCAAAATTCCTTCTTCAAGCACTCAAAGGAGTCCATATTTTACTCGAGGTTCTGTACTTAAGCCAAGGCGTGAAAGGTAGAATCGTTTGAGGGTTTGGCCCCAAAATCAACCTTATTTTATTTAATTTAATTTAGTTATTGTTTTATTATTTCCTTGAAGTTACTAACTCGTTTATTATTTTGTAGTTGCAAGCAAACAGATTCAAAGTAAGGATCATGCTCTTTTATTATTATTATTTTTTTTCTAACAATTTTATGTTGTTGGAATTGTGATTGAATTGCTTCCAATATTAATGTTATTCTATTATTTATTTTGATCACCATATTGCATGTTAAAGGGAATATGTAATTGAAAATCACGACTAATAAGATAATTTGGACAATCGGTTTAGGATCCTTTTAATCTTATTATTAATTGAAGTGATCACCAAATTTTAGAATTATGTGTGCATTAATTTTAAACCAATTTAGTTAAATAATAGTTTGGAGCGAATTGAATTATTGTTTGTATGCCTTTGAGATCACAGGAATGCTTTTCAATATAAGAATCGAGTAGAGGCCAATACGGGCGAATGTGACTCCATGACTCACTTCGTACCATCATCCCCGATCCTCCTTTCGTGGTTCCGAACCATATGGAGTTAATAATCTCATGGATTATGAATGGGGTGTAACCTTCACGGGTCAATCGTTGTTGCCTTCGTTGTCCCTTATTCATGGTTGCCTTTTTTATGATCCGTGAACGGTTTACAAGTTCCTAAAAAAACTTGTTGGCGGCTCCCTACTTTATTTGTCCCTAATAGTTGTCCCTAATCGTAATGTCAATTCCCACTTCCTATGAGTGCCAAGCATATTCACCACATGCTTTAACGTAGGCGCACTTCGAACGACGCCTATAGATACATCTCGGTGATGGAAAAGCAAAGCATCGAAGAAGATCCCATCGGTGTACTTGACCGAAGTTCAACCTAGATGGATGGCATCCGAGCCTATTGTTTTCTGACCAAGGCACTTGACTTATACCGAAAAATTAAAAAGGAGGGAAAACTACAATTTACTTATATGATTGGATGATTTTACATAAGTCGTTTGAACCATAAGTCTTATTATGTGGCACTGCATGATGTGATTGGATGTATTAAGCTTTATAATAGATCATAACTTCAGCAAATAATGTTAATATGCACCTAAGACCTCTAACTTCATTCATAAGAGAATGAGAGTAAATAACTAAATATGCACTTAAAATTTGTAAACTCGCTTTTTCTTAAAGACGCTTGGTTGGTTCACATTTCTACATGGTATAGCAATCAAATTGCAAGGACTATTTGTGTACATGACTTGTTACATGAGATACTTCGACAAATTTTGATGACAAAGGAAGAGAATCGCGAGGTTAGGTTAACATACAAAGTAGAAACATAATTATATCTGTTAGAGGATCAACTCAACCAAAAGCTCAACTTGACGGTTGAGAGTTGAGACCCAAGAATATGTGTTATACTCTATCACTTTGGTTTAGATAATCCACTAACATGTTATCAACAGTCAGCGTGACTCTGAGGTCACATGTTCAAATGTCATCCATCCTCTAATTTCAAGTGAAATATTTTGTGTTGGGAATAATCAGGAAATCCATGTCGCATCCACATTTCAAGCCTAAAAGACTCTCATATGAGGGGGCGTGATAGAGTATATAAACCAATCTTGAGGTTCAATTATCAGTTTAAAATTTTGGTAGAGTTGGTCTGTTTAATAATATTTAAGCAAATCGACTAAACATAATTAGTATTCCATCTTAGAACTTACTAAAAACAGTAGACGCACATAACGTGTAGAATTGAATCACTAAAATTGTTAGTACATTTTAAAAACAAAAGTTGATTATAAAAAATAAATAAATGTGTGTGCGTGTGTGTGTGTGTGTGAGAGAGAGAGAGTGAGTTCCATAGTATTATTTCTATAGGATACCCTAAACATATAATCAAGATGGAGAAGGGAATGAGGATGTAGCACAAATATGCATCATCAGAATTTGTTTGCAACAAGGTAAAGGATATTTTTCTTATGCATTGTAATACCAGGGTTTGCTTTGTTATCGACGTCTTCCTTGTTTACACCGGTAGGCAACTCCCAATTAAAAGAGTACAACAAATTGGCAAGCGCGAGCTCAAGGTTAGCAACACCAAGAGAGTAAGCAGGGCACATCCTTCTTCCACGGCCAAAAGGAATCATTGCAAAGTTTTCTAGTGATTTGAAAACATCTCCTGAACTCCCCATAAACCTCTCCGGCATAAATATTTCAGGATTCTTCCAACATTCAGGATCTCGTCCAATAGCCCATGCATTAATAAATATTTTAGTTTTGGGTAATATGTCATATCCTCCTATAACACATTTTTGGACTACTTCTCGTGGAATCAAAAATGGCGCTGGTGGATGCAATCTAAATGTTTCCTTCACTACTGGCTTGAAGTATTCGAGATTTGGGAGATCAATTTCTTCTATACAAGTAGTACCCTTTTTTTGTGCTTCATTCCTTAGCTCTTCTTGCACTTTTTTCATTGAAATTGGGCTCTTTACTAGCTCTAAAATTACCCATATTATTGTAGCTGTGGTGCTACTTGCTCCTGCGGCAAAAAGATTCTGCAAACATTGCATTTATTTGGGCTGTTAGCTAACATAATTAGGGATATACATGCTTCTGTTATAATATAAGTTTGTTGAACATCTACTTAACAAAAGTTTGTACATGAATAATTGTGATCAATTAGTGGCAATTTTTGTTGATCGTTCAAGAGGATTTTTAACATACAACTGATTGTAACTTGTCAAGTAGTTTTTTTACCCTAGTTTTTTGACCCATTAGCTCAATTGGTACAATGTCAGCAAATAATAAATAACCTTAGTTACATACCTGTCAATTAGGACCTGTTCTTTTCAGCTTAATTTCAGTTCAGTTCAGTTTCTAATTTCCTTCTCTTATAAATAATTCAGTTCAACTCAGTCCAGTTCATTTCAGTTCAATAAATCAGAATAGGCCCTTAGTCATTCACGCATACGACGATACAACTGGTTGCATAAAAAAAAATATCATCATTAAAGCACTATATTTAAAAATGTCATCTATCATTAAAATTCTCCATACTACGTTTAATTTTTAGACACTAAAAAATTCGAAAAATATATTTAAAGATCGAGATAGATTAAATTACCAAAAAAATTGCTTTGATGTGCTCCATTGTGAGCTTAAATGGAAAGGAAGCATCATTCTTAAGGCGAAGCAGAAGATCAACTACATCTTCGTGTTCCGAATTAAGCTTATTATCTCCAAGGTGATCGTTGATGATTTGTTCAAAAAAATCGCCTAATTCCTTAAAAATCTCTTCAAGCCTTGAAGATTTTCCGGTGAGCTTATCAAGAAAATTACCAACAAGTGGGAAATAATCATTATAGAAGAAAGCTGTGAACATAGTTTCAGCATCATGTAGAAGCCTATGATATTTGTTTCCTAACTCTTCTTCGCCGTTGTACCTGCGCACCAAACATAGTTAATTAATACTTGTAACTTCTTTATTTTCAGGTTTATCCTGTCCATGTATAATTTCAATTGTATGTTAATATTGTCAATTATTAATGAGTAGCTATACGAAGTACACGGGAAGATTTTGCATGACTATGTTTTATCTAAAATATAAATCACCAAAGGTATTTACAATAATATGATATACGTACATATGTGAATATTGCAAAAATAAAAATATTGCTATTTATATTATAATTGTAGAGTCACTTAACGAGAGCCCTCCAAATCCCCAATCCTCAACTCTCATGCATTTGAGATTTTTTTTTTTTTTTTATATCATTTGAAAAAAAAAATCAACAACTACCCATTCACTCTTTTTTTTTAATTATTATTTTTTTATTATTTTATTATGGGACTACTACTAACCTTTCAATTTATGTGTGTATGTTTTTTTGGGTACGTAGTATAACATATCAAAAAAATAAAAATGTGCTCTAAACCCCAACCCTTCAATTATAGTACTCTAAATCCCCAACCCTTCAATTATATGCATTTTTAGGGACTACCCTCCAACATTTTCCATTTCTTTAATCATCAAAAACAAAAAAATGTACAACACATTTTTGTGCAACTAGCCTCAGCGAATAACTACTTGCAACAAAACAAAATATGTAACTCCTATAGCAAGACACTAATCCATATGATACTAACCGAGTAACACGAGTAACTCCTATAACACCGAACGGGTAACCTCTATAACTTTGAAAAAGTAAACCCCATAATAGCATTGTGTGCCCACCGACATAAAAGAGTAAGACCTTGATTTTTGAGGAATATCATATTTCAGCATAGCACATCAGGTGTCAGCACATTAATTATCAATACGATTATTATTAATACTCAATACAACAGAGCTAATTAGGGTTCAACAAAACCGACAAGTCCAAAACCGACCATTACAACTCAAGTCTAAATTAGAACATCAAAATCAACTTTTCACATTTGAAATATATTTTTTCTTATATATTCCCGTGCATTTTGCACGGGTACACTCTAGTTAAATAAAAATGAGAAGAAATCTTACGAAATACTCCAAATACATTGTTTGTATATACGTAGGGAGTAATTAATATATTATACTTAATTAGCCAAAACACAGTATATGTCTTGACTATTAAGTTATGTGTATATTGTCATTATATTATTGCTCAACTTCAGTTCTTACTCGATTAAAGTATACAAAATATAAATTTCTAGTTTTTTTTAGTGGTTATAATGATCTTATATACGTAAACATTTATGTGGACCGCACTCGCGATCAAGAAGAGAACTTCCACTTCACAAGTCCTGTTGAAAGCCATTGTAGTCCACTTATGAGTGTCCCACATTGGAGAAAGAGGAGAGATAGTTTCACTTTATTAGGTAGAGGAGTACCTCCTACTATTGCCAATTGGTTTTAGTATGGAAGCTCCAAAGTCTTGTTTGTGGACCAAACTCTCTTCCTCCTTATTTGGGTTGCCCAGGCCCATTTCATATTTGTTTCGAAATTTAACATGGTATCAGAACCCAGGTTGTGGGTCTCTTCTAAACTGGGTATTTAATCTCTACTAGATAAGGATTTACCTCGATAGGATGTCCAGCCCCTAAGAGGATTATTGATCTGGCCTTATCTAGTTAGCTCTGAAATTCTAAGGACACTCATAAGTGAGGGGGAGTGTTGAAAGCCATTGTAGTCCACTTATGAGTGTCCCACATTGGAGAAAGAGGAGAGATAGTTTCACTTTATTAGGTAGAGGAGTACCTCCTACTATTGCCAATTGGTTTTAGTATGGAAGCTCCAAAGCCTTGTTTGTGGACCAAACTCTCTAACTCCTTATTTGGGTTGCCCAGGCCCATTTCATATTTGTTTCAAAATTTAACAAGTCCAATGAGATTCAATCCCAAAACCATATGATAATAGGAGTAGCCTTTTAATTTTATAAAGTGCTTAATTCTCTTATGTTTCATCAATGTGGAATACTTCATACTTATACGTGTTATTTGAAAAGATACATGTTATTTGGAAAGCTAAGCCTCAACATATACTTTTACCACTTTTACTCTCATAAGTCACAGTACAACTAATATTTCTTTTACTGAACTTCTACTTTCACACTTTCAATACAATTAATTTTTTGTTTTCTGTAAAAACAAAAGTGTGTAAATATTAATAATAATAATAACTAACTAACTAAATAAATTAATTAATTAAAAAAAACGGAGAGAGTAGTACGTACCTCTTGCCGAAACTAAACCTACTTGCATCGGCACTTGCATAATTGATAATCAATTCGTTCAAGTTGATGAGTTTAGAAGCAGAAGAGAGAGAAGAAACCTTTTGCATCAACCTTGTGACTTCTTCCCTTCGTATGTTAGCAAAAAGTTGCATATTTTTGGAGCTTGAAAAATGAGCCGAAAGTATCTTTTTCATTTCTCTAACATACTCATTATACGGTCCAAATGCTACATCTAATAAGTTGTACGAAACCTTTTTTCTACCGGTTATTAATCTATCACATGTATTTTTATCATTTGTTTGCATTGCCTCTTTGGCCAACTTTGCTGATTGAATCACAATCATCGATTGCTTCATCAATTGAAGCTTCAAAATTGGTCCGTAGGTCTTGCCTAATGTATAAAATTCGGCGTAATTTGTTTTTGAGGGGCCAAATTGGTGAAAGTTTCCGATTATTGGAAACCCTTTTGGACCAGGGGGAGGATTATAAACTTTAGTTTTTCGATTTTTTGAAAGAAGAAGAAGAATGAGAAAGATGATGGTTAAACCTAACACTAGTAAAAAATCTAAGACTACCATATTCTAGAATTTTCTTTTCCCTAGTTTTTATGGCTATTGTTTCTTGCATGGCCTTCACCATGCATGGAAAAAGCATCATATTTATAGTGTTATGAGGCAACATGCTCTTCGAGTCTTTGTCAACTTACACTTCCCACAATTCACCTAGTAATTGTTTAGTATCTTAATTAATTACTTACAATTATTATTAAAAGATCGGATCTCACTCTATTATCTATTCTCACTCTTTTCTCAATTATTCACGTTAACATTGATTTATTACGTACTCTTGTTTTGTACTCCGTGTATTAATAGAGGTAGCTAAGACATTTTTATGGTTTTTTCAAATTAAATTATGTTCTTTTTGTTTGTATATATAGGGAACATACACAAACACTTTACTCCCTCTATTCTATAATAAAAAAAAATAGTTATGTGAGATTTTATTAAATTCGTCTCAATGTGAAGTTATTTATTATAATTTTTGTTAATGTGTAAAATATTGGTTAAAAGTAAGTCTAAAAAGCCATACAAAATAAAATAAATGACAATATATTATGAAACGGAGGAATTATTTAAATGGTACGGTTGTGATTACGATGAAGATTGTGCACTCAAAAATTTTAATAAGAAGAAGCTAGTTTAGTGGCTTCTACTCCAGCATAGTTATCGTTTACGAAAGACAAGATCTTTGCACATGCTAATTTCAACGGACTATGTACGTTATATAGATCCTCCTATTTATCAATGACTTTTTGATACTATTCTTCAAAATACGAGTAATATTTTACAAAGTAAACTCTAAAATACAGTTTCTCTATTAGAAAAATTAAGGTATCACTTATTAACACATAAAATAAAAAAAAAATAAAAAAAAAAAAAAAATAAATTCAACGATTCTTCATTGATGCAAGAGCAATCTCAATGCACAAGCTACATTGCATTTTTTATTTTTTATTTTCTTTTTCAACAAGTTCAAAAAAAAAAATATTAGTATACTACTACCTCCGTTTCATATATTTTGCAACTTCGGAATATTTTATATTTTCACAATTAATACCCTAAAGTTGTAAAAAAAATATGAAACGGAGATAGTAAATGAGAAAGATAGGAAGTTGTAAATAATGTATTACCTCCGTTAAATGTTATGTGCAGTTTTGGGACATTATTTGTGAGATATAAAATATTTTAAAGTTGCAAATAACATTTAACGGAGGTTGTATAAAATCAAACTCAACACCAACATATTACAAAACAAAATCGAATAACAAATAGTATTGGTCAATTAAATAATCAATGGTTTTTCATACATAGTCCCTCTGTTTTTAAATACTTGCTCCATTTCTCAGCACGTATGCATATCGGATACAAATTTTTGATCAATTATATCTTTAATTATTAATAAGTACAAATTCTAACAATTAAAAATTGATAATCTATTCATTGATACGATTTCAACAAGTACCCAAAATATAGGCTACATATTTTTCTTATATTTAATGCCCAAATTAATGCACATCAGTCCAAGATGCAAAACACTTAGATTAAAACAAACCATTTAACCAATTATAACGTTCATGGTAATACAACTCAATCTCGAAATAGTCCCATACTCCGATAATTACACTTTTAAATTAACTAGCTATATATGATATAAGATTCTTATTTGATGATATGTTATACGGAGTAATAATTATATTATATTAATTATATTATATAAAATCTTTTTAGTGTTTATAACATGCGTTACATAATATGGAGTACCTTTTAAAAAGGATTTATTTATTTATTATTAATTGATGAGAAACCAAAAACTCAAGTTTGCCTTTTAATGACTAAGGAAAATTTGCAAATTGCAGCCATTTAAATTTCGTATTTTGCAAATTGCAGCCATTTAATTTTTTTTTTGCAAATTGCAGCCCAAAAGTTCGTTTAAATTGTAAATTGCATTCCGATTCAATTTTTTCATCGGTTTACATGTTGAAAAATCTTCGGTTAAGGTTTTAGGGGTCATTTTAGTCCTTAAGGACCCAAATTGAACTCGGAATCGGCAAAAAAATAACGTAAGTGTCTCATATTTACAGTTTCCCACAAATCGATACATTTTTGTTATGCAAAACGAGATACTTACGTTATTTTTTTGCTAATTCCGAGCTCAATTCGAGTCCCCATGGACTAAAATGACCCCTAAAACCTTATCCGAAGATTTTTCAACATGTAAACCGATGAAAAAATTGAATCGGGCTGCAATTTACAATTTATACGAACTTTTGGGCTGTAATTTGCAAAAAAAAAAAATTTAAATGGTTGCAATTTGCAAAATACGAACTTTAAATAGCTGCAATTTGCAAATTTTCCAATGACTAACGACTGTAATGAGTCCAAATATTATTGACAACTCTTATTATACACCCTTAATCCTTTATATCAAATTCCAAGAATAAAATGTGGTTCTTGCTAGCAATTCTATTTCTTGCCCAAAAATTTGACCAACCCATACTTGAGCATTTAAACATGTTATTAATGAATGATCCATGAATAATTGATTAGAAGGTTTTTACCAACCATACTACTGTATGAAAACTATTGGCATCTCCCAAATTAAGAACAATCACTTTAATTTTGTGACCTAATTAAAACTAAAATAAAATAAAAATTAAGACAAGTCTCTTTCACTTTCACTCCCACTATAACTCCACTACAATTCTATTAAGGGGGCAGGCCTATAATTGACTTATTCCATGTTAAATGGAAATTGGAATTTAGGGGCCCTTTATTATCTGAGACAGATGGCCAAGGAAATATAGCTTCCTCTTCTAGTTTATTTTAATTTATTTATTATCTTTTAAAAAGAATTACCCAAAGGTGAAGAGAGTTTCAAATGGCAAAAGAAGTTGCTCAAATTTAATCTCAAATATTTTGGACAATAAGTAATATTGAAATTTTCTTTGTGGAGGCAGATGTATACATCTGGATTTTTGATAAAAAGGCAAAATTAACATATAGTTGTTTTGTAAAAAAACGTATAATTGTTTTGTAAAGAACATATACCTGTTTTACAAAGAACGTTCAATTTTATGTTCTTTTTGTATATCTAAAGAACATCCATAATATTAATAAATAACATAAGAATATTATGTGATGAATATTATTTATATTCACCCACCATAATCTAAAGACAAATTTTAAATAACATTTTACAGTAAACAATGAGTATTATGTCACACATAAAACTGACAATAATCAAACAACACGGAGATAAAGATGTCACAAATAAAAATACATTATATTGACAATAATCAAACAACACGGAGATAAAGAATATTATTTAACAGTGTGTTATTTATAAAATAGTGTCATGTTCATTTTTTATAAATAACTATATGTTCTTTTTTTTTTTTTGTATCATATGTTCTTTTATTACGTTAATTGTATTTTAACATTATGTTCTTTTCACTTTAGATATATGTTCTTTGATTTTCACTTTAACTAAATGTTCTTTAAATTTTTATACGATGTTCTTTCCACTTTTTTTTTTCTTTTTTGAACGGATGTACTATGCGTATGGTACACCCGCCTCCATGAACCAATGATTACAGTAATTTAGTCTCATTTGCATTTTTGTACACACTTTTTTTTTAATGAATCTATTTGAGCATTGTTATATGTTCAACTATGCCTTATAATAAATTATTAAAAAATAATATTTCAAAAATATATATCTAGACAAATTCAACAAGATTCCGAATATATCTTTTCTCATATGTATTATGTATAGAGTAGATCTTCATAATAAAAGTTGATCTCTCCTAGCTCAAAGTGAAAATTCTAAAAGGGTGAGACAAACAAGAAGGATATGATAGAGAGTTGTAAAATCATGGCCTATTAGATTATGTCACGTACGTAAGATGTGTATTAAGTGCGCCAAATCTCGGATTCGTTTCTAATCACCCACTAGGGCCACTCCTATCAATTCTTGCTTTGTGAGAGAACCTACTCTAATCCAATCACTTCATTAGTTAGTGAGTTTTTATTAATTTTCAATTTAAGATTGGATTAGTAAGGTTTAATGAAACTTAAAATACCACTCACCAACAATATTGAATTTGAATTATTTGTGCTTTTAGACTATTGGTTACTAGATATATATGAACATATTCGAGGTACCAATTGCTTGGACGTTTTAAAAGCTTTAAAGATGACTTGCTTGCTCTAAATTTCTTTCTATATTTGTTAGAACTCTTAGAAGTCCTTTTTTGAAAAGTTATAAATGTGGTCCTAATAACAGCCAAAAGTTTTTTTTTTTTTTAGGAAATTTTGATAATTACCACCTTCTGTTATGTCCATTTTAGCAATTACCACCTTCTATTTTTATTTTTTTGAAAATTACCACTTTCTATTTTTAAAAACATTAAAAGTTACCATATTCTTGCCTCCCAAGTCTCAACTACCACATGACGTCATTTTAGGCCCATTCTTTCCCTTCCCTCCCTATTTCCCTCACATTTCTCATTCCTAACTCGATTCTCCTCCCTCCTTTCACTTTTTTCCCCAAAAAAATCAGAAACATTTCTATTCACTCCTTCAAATCAAAATTGACGAACAATTATTGGTGGTTTAGGGGGAAAAAAGTGAAAGGGGAGATGAGAATCCAAATAGGAATGAGAAATGGGAGGGAAATAGGGAGGTAAGGTAAAGAATGGGCCCAAAATGACGTCATGTGGTAGTTAATTGGGAGGTAAGAAGGTGATAACTTTTGATGTTTTTGAAAATAGAAGGTGGTAATTTTCAAAAAAAAAAAAAAATAGAAGGTGTTTATTGCTAAAATGGACATAATAGAAGATGGTAATTGTCAAAATTTTCTTATTTTTAAGCAAAAGGTTACTTTCAATTATATATGCCAGAATATGCCTTGAATCGATTTATTTACATTACATTAGAATATTCAATTTTATGTTATAAAATACTATATTAACTCTCCACGGTTTAACCTAATTACTATTTTGTAATTTGTATTATCCTCAAAAATAATAATACAGATTTTATTTAGCTTATCTTTTGACATAGCTCATCATCGATGAACCACGTACATATTGTATTCTTATTTGTCAATTCAATTATAAATATTTGTTGTGCTTGTCATAACAAATCGGTATCGGAGTTGATGTGAGCTTTGTTGAAGCAACAATGATTGTAGGCACCTCGTTTGAGGATGTAACGTTGATAGATAAACACAAGTCGTGGAGTTGGTCGTTTTCGAGGCAAAGACACACTGCACTCTTCAACAATGTAGTGTCTTACACAAATACACACGGTATTATGGAGTATATATTACCAAAGTATGTTTCGTCTATCCCGTCAAAAAAAATAAAGTATGTTTTGTTTGGTTGCTAAAGCTCAAGAGTTTGTATAACAAACCTATGTCTATTTTTTCTTCTAAGAAATTAAATCAATTAAACACAATTTTATTAAAATCGTGTTATACATTGATATATCTTACACACGTTAGTTATTATATATTGTTGAAGCTCATCAAGATCTTCGGTATATATAACAAAGCTACGTCTATGATTCCTTTAAGAAATTAAATCAATTAAGCACAATCTTATTAAAATTGCGTTGCATTTATATCACTCGTAATTTATTCAAAGTTTACACAACAAGAGCATAAGAAGTACTATAATAATATATTAATAAATAAATGGATTTTCTTGCAAAACTCTACTCCGTAACGTGTATATATAATTTGGTATTTCCACATACGTACAAATATATATACTTCACCCGTTGCATATTACTCCTTTGTTGTGAGTAATATGTTACGGAGGGAGCATATATCATCCTATAAGGCCATAACTTTTCCATCAAGTAGAAAATGACAAAGTTAATTGCAATTAAAATACACTAGCTAGCTAATCAAACTTGCTATTTAATAACAGCCAATTGATACTTTATAATTATTAAGAATATACTTCTATTATGTAATTAGGAAGTGTATTAGTTTAGGATTCCTAGAGTAACACACCTTCCTTAATCCTAATCACATAATTTATTCCTAATAGTTACCCAATAAGTATATTATGTACTATATACCTATATCGTACCGTACTATTGTCTAGAATATACGTAGTATAACAAACATAATATATATACTTGGTACTATATTATTGCATGGCATTAATCATCTTATATGATCAGTAATTGTTTAGAAGTTCCTCTATCATTTGCAACGCAATTTTCTCTTCTTCACTAATTCCACCCTTAATTTCTTGTGCTTCAACATTGTTTTTTGCATCAAACTTTACGGTCATTACCCAACTAGAGTTCGGTTGCCCTCCAATGGACCGCTTTTGCCATACTCTGATGTTGGAGTTCTCGGTGTCTAGCCTTAGACAAGTGAGGGAAGGACACAACTTCTGATATGACTTTCGAAGCTTCGAGTTAAGGAGGGATGAAACACTAGCATTTGGATGTGATTTTGATAAGGGTTCTTTTGATGGTCTTGATGTTATTATCTCATTGCTTGAGCCAATTTTGGTCGTGACAGGAAAATTTGTCTTAGCTTTCCGGCCACTCATTAGGACGGCCGCTTCATCGTAGGTTCTAGCCGCCTCCTCGGCGGACTTGAAGGTCCCCAACCATATCCTTCTTTTCCTTCACAAATTAAAACTTCAAGTTTAGATAATTCATCATGACTATTCACATAAAATTCATAATTAGATTATTATTGTTGCCTCGAGTATTGAGTCTATGCAAAATACTCCTATATCAAGAAAAAAATTTGAAAAAACTCATAAATTAAAGTACAGTAATCAATAAGTAAATTAAAGGTGAACTAAGAATAAAACACCACTAACTTCGACAAGATTTTATGCACAAATAATTACACACAATACGCATGATTAGATACCAAGAGGAGTAGTGCTAAATTTCTTGATATTGTGGAAATTTAATTTTATAACGCGATTTTAAAATAAAAAAAGGTAAAAAAAAATAAATTAGGGTTTTTATAGTAATAGTATAGTAGAGATTAGAGATGAAGTACGTACAATAGAGGATGACGAATCTCAGCAACCCAAGCACCCCAATGGCGCTGCCTGACACCTCTGAACTTCTTAGTAGAATGTAAGAGTCCCATAATATTTGGGAGTGAGAGTGGGTGTGCAAAGTACAATGGGATAGTTGAGATGGTTGCTAATTATAAGTGTAGGTAGATGGAGATGAATTCAAGTTAAAGGTATACGTAAGTGATTTGAGGTCTATAGGTAGATCAAATATGCCCCACAATGCATTTAACTAGAACAAGGCTTACTTGTCGGCTCCGTTGCTAAATTTGTCTTATTCTATAGTTTTCTCGTATTCCTATAACTTTCTATTTATAGATGACAGCTGCACGATCAAATTTAGTTGATAAATTTTAAGGTGTGCGGCGTCTAAAAGTTGAGGTCAATTTTTGTTTATTAAACTTTCATTTATATCTATATCAGTGCATATAAAAAAAATAATAAAAATAATATCAATGCTAATTAAAGCTTTTAAGCCTCTATTCAAAAAAAAAAAAAAAAAAAAAGCTTTTAATCCTTGCTTCTTCACTATTGCTAGTCCACTACTCCGTACAATCCAATCCCACCCCATGAGGCCGTGTCTCTACCTTCGCTAAAATTTTGATACCTTCATTTATGTCATGTAAAAAACTTACAAGCTAAGTCAAAGTCTTCATATGTGTCTTATTGGATCAATTTTACCCTATTTTTGGCTCACATTATTAGATTTATTTTAGACAAATTAGTTTTTACAAGTTAAAATATATAAGTAGTGTAGCTTCTCTCTCTCTCTTTTTTTTTTTTTTTTTTTTTTTTTTTTAAAGATAAAATTAAGTTACTTAGACAAATAATTTTTTTCATATTTCAAAGCAATTTATATATGTATCTCAAAAAATTTCATTAACAAAAATGATGTATACTTTGTAGAATTTATTATGTCATAATTTTAGTAACAACACTCACAAGTGCTAGTAACTTTGTAAAAGTTGTTTTAAAAAATTAACTTCAATTTTTCCAATAGTAAATTAGTCACATTTATGATGGATTGGAGTATTGTGGTTTGATTAAAATTTCGAAGTAGGTCATATATTATTGACGAGTCATCCGAATTAGTTCACATCTATACCTAGTTATAGTATTTTCAAATTAGTTTTTTTAAATGATCAATATTATTATTAGACAGTAGTATATATATATATATTAGACTATTAATTTCCATCCGTAGGTATAATTATCAGTTCATGTAATTTTGAATACGAGTAAAGTTTAGATTAAATCTTATATCTAGTTTAAAATTTGGGTTATTTTAAATCTTATATCTAGTTAAAAAAAAAATTGGGTTATTTTTCCCTTCATATTATTAAAATTAATATCCACATGCATAAAAAAACAAAAAACTTTACCTACCAAATAATTGACAAATTGCAAAATAAGGAAAGATTTTTTAAAAGTATCAGCCTAAATTTTATTTTATTTTTAATTTTACTTTTCATTTATTTAAAAATAAATTGTGTGGTGTACAAAAATAAATAACGATCGTCATGCAAGTCGCCCTCTCCCAATAATAGACGTAAGTACATTAGGCCAATTTGGCTTGCATCATTTTACCTTTCCTTTGAACGTAAAGTGATTGGAGGAGAGATAAATATAAGCTGCTTTTTAGCAACCAATTGCAGTAATTACACTTTGGAGTTTGTTTCAGTGATTACGTCCTCTTTTTCGTTCGTTTTTTTGGTAGGGTGGTGATAAAACAAGCACATGTAATATCATCTCTTATATAGTTATGTGTTAGTACTCCAACAAAATATAATTATTCCAACAAAATATTCGGATTTATGTAATTCTTCGAACTACATTATTATAGCCTTATAGGATCTCTTAGATGAATTTATACAATTCTTCCAACAAAATATTAGGAGCAACTATCGTACATGGATTGTATAGTGTAAAGGTCTTGTATAAATTTATATTGTGATATATTTCGTATGAAATAAATTTATAGAGAAAAATATTGTCTCATAGGGTTTTGTTAGATTTGTCTCGAAATAAATATAGTTTTATAATACCAAATTCAATTTTATTTTTTCCAGAGTTGTTAAAAGGTAGTGTAATTAGAGTGTGTTACTTTGATATATAAATTAAAATATACTTTGTTATAATGTAACCTATATATAATTTATCTAAAGTGAACTTTAAATTACCAAATGGCAGGGGTGTTAAATATCGTCATAAAAAATAATCAAAAATGTCAATATTTAGTACAACTTTGCCCTTAATACTTCATCACTATCTTCCCTCATGCCACCAATCACTAACACCTTGTACCGCCACCTTGATCGACGATGACCACCACCACCACACTAATCGGCGACAACCACCATCACCTAGACCGGTGACCCACCAGGTTTTCTTTTTTCGGCAACTGCAGTAACCAAGGCCCAAAACTTCAGTTACCCATTACATGTTAGGCTGTAATCGTGTCTGGTGGCCGGTTTTGGGCTTCAGTTGCCGAAATTTTTTAAAAAAACCACCAGCTTCTCACCGGCGAGGGAAGGTGGTGGGTTGTCATTAAGGGTGGGTGGGGGATGTGGACGTGGTGGGTCACCGATTAAGGTGGTGGTGGTTGTCGTCGCCGGGTAGAATAATAAGGGGTGGTGAATTAGTATGGGTATGGTTGTCCATTCACACCAAATATTAGAGGTGGTGATTATTTTTATGGCAATGTATAACAATCTGCAATAAATTATAATACTTCATAAAGTATACTATCTCTGTCAATTATTATATGCAACATTGGGATATTATTTGTGAGGTATAATAAAATAAATTAAACTCACTCTTTATTTGCGGTTAACATTATTCAGAATTTCAGACTGCACCTTCATGTGCATGCATACACAGATACACACACTGACTGACACAGTGACACACAAGAGATATGTTATTATGTAGTCTTAAGGAAGTGCGCGATAATACTTTTAATTCGATGCGTTAATTTATAATAATCTTTGTTATCTTTAATTCTTTATTGCTTCAATAACTAATTATAATAAATATAATTGCAGCCTTAAACCAGCCAGCCAAAGGGATATGGCCAAAATATGGGCACGGACGCCATGCATGGACGGTGGTGTTAAGGTTAAACAATGATGGATGTATTGTTTCCATTAGCTTAGGATAAGGTTACTTCAAGGCGTTTTATGTTATCTAGAATTTAAGTAAAATTACTTCATTTAGTTATTGAAGGGTTACGAGCATTATACATTTATACAAGCATGAGAAAGAAATCATGAATTAACCGTATATTAGTACTTTGTCAGTGTCAAATGTGTTGCAAGTATTATGCGTCTTAAAGATTGTGAAGAGTCTGTCTTTAGACTTTAAGGATCACATGTTCAAACTTCATCATCTCGTATACTTTGAAATAGAAGATTTCATTATTTTCCCCTATACTTTCAAACATTAGTATATACTTTGTACCTTTTTTTTTTTTTTTTTTTGAACGGATACTTTGTACTTAATTTTTCAACTTTACTTCTTGTCATAAAAAAATTACAACTTTACTTGATCCACTTTTATAAATGGGATTAAGCAAAGCTTCTTTGATTCATAGGTTGCCTAGGCTGGTGTAAATTTGGCCATGCAGGCCCACTTTTGCGGCCCATATTCAACAAAATAGCTGCAAAATCTATGTCATTCATTAACAACTTAACAAGTTTTTTTTATTATTATTATTATTATTTTTTTAACAAGGTGTTCTTAATTGAAGGAAAATTAATGACTTGTATGATTCTATTACGTACACCTTTTTATTTGGTGGTGTTGTTGTTGTGTGTGAACAAATTAAGCTATATAAGAAATATGACTGTTAAATACTGGTTTGGGCCGCATTCTCAAACCAAAAGGGATAGTCCACTTTACTAGTCGAAAGGAAGTTTTATTTCAAAATTATATGGCAATAGAAGAATTAGCCCTTAGTCTTATTAAGTGATTAACTCTTTCTTCTTCAATTAATGTGGGACATTTACATGTGGTAATAGTTGGGAGGTTTATTCATCAATCATCAACACTACCATATACAAAATATGTTTCTTCTTTCTTCTTTTTGTATTTATGGTGCCATAAATTTCAAAATCATCTCATGATGCTTGTATTGTATATATTATTTGCTTATTTTAAGTAATTTGGATGTTTTAGTATCATTGTAGACTTGTAGTGAACTATTAATCAATCTTTTACTTTAACAATATAAGAAGTACTTCGTATTTAATATTAGTAGTTCACCATACTCGTAATCTCCTAATTTTGAACCGATATTTTACTGTGCTTGTGTATGGTCTAACATACATAGGTTATTTAACTTCCACAATAAAACACAACCATCAAACAACTCATAAAGACAAGGTCATAGTTTACAATTGCAACTAGACTTGTCCACAAGCCCAATTGAAATGAATTGATCCAACTTAGCTCTCCTCAATTTGACATAGTTTCACCTCATGTTTCTCTTGAGTTCTCTCCCTCTACCTCAAGTTCTCAATCTTCAATCTTAGATTGAACATATATTTCCACTAAAAACAACAAAGTGAAGTTTCCTTCAATTCACATTTCACCATTTTGCACACAATAATCAATGATACTTTTTCGTATACATATTCTCAAGGTGGAGCGTGTATTATTGTAACTATCTTTACGAACTCTGCGCACATGACACATGCACTCGTCACATAATATCACATACCATCAATTCCACTAGGATAATATATAATGTTTAAACCGAGCTATCAAATGGTTATCCATTACGCTACTCACCCATCCATACAAAAGGAACTAATATTTGAAAATTAAATATCAAAATTAGATAAATTCACACAATTAGTACAATTACAAATTAACTTTATGTATTCCCGTAAAAAATTTAGACAATCCTCAAACATTTACGGATCTCTTTTAATTTAATTTGACATTCCTAAATTTTCTCTCTCCATTTTACGCGCAATCCACTCACTAAACCCCACCTTTTCAAGAGTCAAGATCCCATCTTTGATCTATTCATTAATTTAATCGGACACATTCTCTTCACCTCCCCCTATAAATCCTCGTTTTTGTCAGATCTTTCATCATTTCATCCTATTTCTATTTTTCCCATGTAATAATTCTAATTTTCTCTTGTTTTTTTTATTTTATTATTATTATTAAAATTTATTGTAATTATCATCCATTTTCATCAATGATCATCATTGAATTACTTTATTGATCTAGCTATTTTGATCAACATTGATTTTATTTCAATTGAATTTTCTGCTGGGGTTTTGATTTTGTGGGATGTGATTGGATTTTTCTGATGAATTATGTGATGGGGTTGACGAATTTTTGCAGATCATAATAAACTGATTTGATTTTGGTTTTTGATTTCAGTTGGAATTGAAAAAAAAAAGGTGAAAAATGGAGCAGATTTTGATGCATGGAACTTTACATGTTACGATTTTTGATGCCAAGGATCTTCACCATGGTAGCGAACCTGGTGTATTCCGCAAGGTCTTTCTCTCTCATCTATATATGCATATAGTCTTTTTATTTTTTTTTGGCACGTAAGGGTAATAATGTAGACGGGATTTGATCCCGAGTATTGGTACCACCCGTCACGACTTTAATTTGGCATCCACTCTTATATTTGTAGTTGAATGTATATATGTTGATGAATTGTGAATTTGTGGTATGTTTTAAATTTGGCCACCCAGA